CCCAACATGCCAATATTGGCACTAATGATATGTAAATGTAATTCGTTGTTCAAACAACTATTCAGAGTTCCTAGAGTTTCCTGATTATACTTTTTTTTGTTGTTCTGTATATGGAATCAAAGCCCTAGTTATACGCTAACTTCTGGATTTTGTTTCAAGATCGGGTTGGTGGTAGATTCAACTAGTTTGTGTAGATGGGTTTTAGCGGTCGTGTTAATGGACTGGGGATGGGGTTGTTGAATCAGTCCATTTACAAGGTATGGAAGACATGTATGGAATCATACCTTGTGGGAGAGGATTTGTGGGATTTTGTTAATGGGAATGACATATGTCCTCGTGCTGACGGACCGAAAAATAACAGTGCGTACAAGAAGTGGAAGAAGATTAATACGAAGGCGGAGTTCATTCTGAAGAGGACAATCTCCTCCGGTTTATTCGATCATATTATAAATTGTAAATCAGCTCATGAAATATAGAGGGCCCTAGATCGTTTGTTCAACAAGAAGAATGAAGCTTGACTGCAGATATTGGTGAATGAATTGGCTAACACCACTGAACGTAACCTTTCTATCATCGAGTATTTTTTGAAGATTAAGAACTTATGTTCTGAGATATCTTTGTTCTATCCGGAAGAGGCTATTTCTGAAGCACGAATGAGAAGAATTGTCATTCGTGGTTTGAAGCCTAAATATATTCCATTTATGACGTTGATTCAAGGATGGGCTCAACGACCATCCTTGGAAGAGTTTGAAAATTTGTTGTTGTCACAGGAACTACTAGCCAAGCAGTTGGCTAGTGTATTTTTCAAACATGGAGAAGAAAATGATCTTGTAGCCGACAAGAGGAACTTTAAAGGAAAAGCAAGAAATATCTTGCACTCTGGATTATCAGGTAGTTCAAGCTTGCCTGGATAGAGGGAAGAGCCTTCTAACTATTCTGGTAAGAAGCCTCTAAGATGTTATCGTTGTGGTGAAGTAGGGCACATAAAAAGATATTGCCGAGCCAAAGAGAGCAATATGGCTCAAAATGTTGCTGAAGAAGAAGAAGAGTGGGAAAAGTGTTTAGCAGCTGAGGCTCGAACAATAGATTCGATGGTTTCCATCAACCTTGAAAAAGATTGGATCGAGGATTTAGAATATAATGCAGTCGATCACGTGGAGAAGCAAGAAACTGATGTTGTCAGCATGAAGCAAGAAATTTTTGAGGATGCTCCCAATGGTGATATGGTAACTGCTATTGAAGTAATCAAAGAAGAAGATCCCGAAAAGGAAATATCTGATACTACATGTGCTAGTGGCGACCTTTACAAAGAAAGCATTGATGGAGATGTATTAGAGAGCGGAAGTATCTTGCCAATCATTTGAAATATCAAGATCAACTAATGACTCAGAGCAAATTCTAAAAGCAGGTGGAGAAAGTAGAGATTAAATAGAAGGAGAAGCTGATATTGAAGTCTTGGAGGAAAACAATATGATTTTTGAAAGCTCTGAAGCTGCCAAAAGATATACTGGGGAGATGATAAGAGAATATGACAGTGGATCCTATGTTGGTGTTGAGACTTCACACGAAATTGATAGTGTTTCTCTGGATAATATAATTATCGGGAATTTAAGAGAAAGGGGGAGTCTAAAAACTCAACAAGGAGATAATCTACATGAATCAATTGACGATGAAGAATCTTTATCATTTGAAAAAGCAAGAGGAGTCCGAAAGAAACTCTTGAGATTTTCACCAAGACGTGGCTCAAAGCTTCGTTTGATTTCTTCCACAACAAGTGTGCGGTTGTTTCCAAAAATCACTTTAAGGGGGAGTGTGAACAATGATAAAGTTGATTTTTGGAATATCATAGATTTTTCTAGTATAGTTTCTAGAATAGTCTAGTGTAGTATCTAGAAAAATTATCTTAAAGAAATATCTAGATATTCTAGAGAAGTTGCCTTGAAGAAATATCTCGATATTCTAGAGAGTTAGATATTTGTAGTAAAAGATAGAATAGTCTAGATGTTGTGATATCTAGAACAATCCCACACAAGTATATATAAGGGTGGCCTTAGTCATTTGTATGTAACCCAAGAACAACTCAAATCACTTCTTCTATAACAAAGTTCTTATATTCAAAATATACTCTCTCCTTTCTAGCTTCCTCTTCCTTAAATTGAATCTTTCGATCTTAGTTAACGATCTTGGGCTAGCAGAAGGTCTCCTGATTATACTTTTCTTTTGCTATTCTCTACATGGTATCAAAGCCATAGTCATACGTTGGCTTCTGGATTTTATTTCAAGCTCGGGTTGGTGGTAGATTCAACTAGTTTGTGTAGATGGGTTTTAGCGGTCGTGTTAATGGACTGGGGATGGAGTTGTTGAATAAGTCCAATTACAAGGTATGGAAGATATGTATGGAATCATACCTTGTGGGAGAGGATTTTTTGGGGATGTTGTTAATGGGAATGACACAAGTCCTCCTGCTGACGGACCGGAAAATAATAGTGAGTATAATAAGTGGAAGTAGATTAATGCGAAGACGAAGTTCATTCTGAAGAGGACAATCTCTTCCGATTTATTCGATCATAATATAAATTTTAAATCATCTCATGAAATATGGAGGACCCTCGATCGTTTGTTCAACAAGAAGAATGAAGCTTGGCTGCAGATATTGGAGAATGAATTGGCTAACACCACTCAAGGTAACCTTTCTATCGCCAAGTATTTTTTGAAAATTAAGAACTTATGTTCTGAGATATCTTTGTTCTATCCGGAAGAGGCTATTTCTGAAGCACGAATGAGAAGAATTGTCATTCATGGTATGAAGCATAAATATATTCCATTTGTGATGTTGATTCAAGGATGGGCTCAACAACCATCCTTGGAAGAGTTTGAAAATTTGTTGTCATCACAGGAGCTACTAACCAAGCAGTTGGCTAGTGTATTTGTCAAAGAAGGAGAAGAAAATGCTCTTGTAGCGGACAAGAGGAACTTTAAAGGAAAAGCAAGAAATATCTTGCACTTTGGATTATCAGGTAGTTCAAGCTTGCCTGGATAGAGGGAAGAGCCTTTTAACTATTCTGGTAAGAAGCCTCTAAGATGTTATCGTTGTGGTGAAGTAGGGCACATAAAAAGATATTGCCGAGCCAAAGAGAGCAATATGGCTCAAAATGTTGCTGAAGAAGAAGAAGAGTGGGAAAAGTGTTTAGCAGCTGAGGCTCGAACAATAGATTCGATGGTTTCCATCAACCTTGAAAAAGATTGGATCGAGGATTTAGAATATAATGCAGTCGATCACGTGGAGAAGCAAGAAACTGATGTTGTCAGCATGAAGCAAGAAATTTTTGAGGATGCTCTCAATGGTGATAAGGTAGCTGCTATTGAAGTAATCAAAGAAGATGATCTTGAAAAGGAAATATGTGAAACTACATGTGCTAGTGGCGACCTTTACAAATAAAGCATTGATGGAGATGTATTAGAAGCGGAAGTATCTTGTCAATCATTTGAAACTACAGTTCCGCTCATGATACAAGGGCCATATGGTAGCCATGAAGGGGGCTACTTTAGAGGAGGCGGGCGCTTTCAAGGTTTCAACACTCAAAGTCAAATGATTCTTTGTTTAAGGTTTAATAAGAAAGTTAAAGAAATTGGGGATTCGTTCCATGTTAGGCATGACTGGTAGGCGTGGTAGTTTTGGCACAAGAGGATGCTACGAAGATGAAGCATGCATGAGGTATGGTGAAGAAGTACTAGTGGGAGCCATAGTGTACAAGCACGGTTCACAAACATAAGTGTGGCATGATGCGCAACAAAGCCATGGACCAAGCTAACAGAGAGGAGGCAAGGAATTTCATGGTTTTGAAATTCAAGGTCAAACATTCGTTGTCTTAGTAGTAACGGAAAGGAAATTAGGAACCATTTCATTGAGGCATGGCTGGTATGGGTGATAGTGTTAGCACAAGAGCATGGTCTGATGATGTAGCATGCACGAGGTGTGGTGAAGCACAAGTGGGAGCCATAGTGCACAAGCAAGGCTCACCACATAAGTATGGCATGGTTCTACACAAAATCAAGGAAGATGCGTGAGGCTTTAGAATGCTTGGTAGTGCACTTAGTTGTTCGGGAATTACTAGAACTATTGGTGGGTTGATTGATCCATATCATTTACAAAGGAGAGATTACTCCAGCAAAAGAGGTTAAGCATAGCTAAATGCCACACATGCATCTAACACTTGAAACTTCTTGTATTCATACTTTGTCTAAGTGTAGCGCCTATCATTGGGGATTATTGGCTAAGTGCTGCACTAGATGCTAGTACGACAGTAGGTCGGTGATAGCTAGATCCAGTATCAACTCCAATACTCTAAAATGAAATAGAAGATCAAACATGAAATTAGGCATACAAGACTATAAGGGTTTATTCATTATTAAGGAGACCAAATTGCAATAAGAGAACTCAAGGAGAAAAAAGTCAGCTCTTAAAGATGAAAATCTGAAAAGTAATCCATCTTATATCGTTCACTTTATTTTCAACATTTTTCCAGTTGCATTGTTCTTTATTTTGTTCTACTTCTCTCTTCTCTTATATTGAAGTGCCTAAGGTTCATTTTCTTAAATTGTATCTCCATTTTTTAGCTAGATTCTGTTAAGGTTTGATTGTTATCTAAGTTTCATTTTGGCCGCCTAAGGATAAATTTGCTAAAGTCCTTTTATTTGGACAAATTTTTGATCAATGAGAAGATATATAGCTTTCCATATATTTCGATATGGATCCCTAAGGTACTGAGAAAGGTGGGTTTTTTCACTTGGTCAGCAACAAGAGGGTGATCTTGATGGATGATAATAGAATGAAGAGGAGGATTACTTATGTTGGGCGGTGTTTTATTTGTAAGGGATCGGGTGAAGACGCGAATCGTCTTCTAGATTGTGCGACAACTTCTCGGTTATGGTGGGAAATGTGGTGTTCGTTTGGTACATTTGGGTGATGCCCGTCACTGTATAAGTAATGATGCTCAACTAGGATTTCAGAAGGTGAGAAAAGAGAATGGTAGCATGTGAATTATTCCTACTTACCAAATGAGTTAGCTCATTGCTTGTACTTCCAAGATAATGTTTCCTTTTAGTTTTAAATTTTAAATTTTGAAGGTCATATGATAATGTACTTTAATACACAATAGAGTGTATAACTAAGCATTTGTTATACATAGTTTAGAAAAGAGTACCAAACATGGTACTAGCAATACACAAGGCTAATGCATGCATTATTTTTCTTAATACACTCTACCAAACGACCCCTAAATGTATTATCAAATTCTCGAGATTTTCTTACGCCAAATATGAAATGAATGGCATTGTGCGGATTCCTCTTTCCCCAGGTTTCCTTCATTATTCATTACAAGGATCTGTATTTACTATTAAAAAGCTTTATTCTAGATAGTTTGAGAAGACAAAGTAAGGAAGCAGTGTACCGCTGTTTTAGAAGAGTGATAGGTGTCCCCAATGGATGATATTTGTGTTCTTAGCAAAGTCAAGTGAAAAAGGCTTGCGCAGGGAAGACTCCCAATTTGGTTTGTGTGGGACATGGTTTTAGAGTGGAGTCTGGTGATGCAGTCAAACTTGATTGCGATGTCTTCGATTTGGTGTACACATAATTTTGTTAAACATCTGAAATATGCGGTTAGTAACTTGTGTATTCCTTCTCAGGTGTTAAAGAATTTCCTTGATACTGCTGAGGCTGAAGTCAAGTCTCTCACTACTCTTTATATTGAAGTGGTGAGTTTCTTGCATCCATTGTCATATTTTAAATCCTCCTGGATGTGTAAGCCATGCCAAGTTTGCTGATTGTTTTTATATCTTGTAAATCTGCAGGGAAGGAGTGCAGACTCCCTATCCCTATATTTTGGCGAGGATCCAGCTCGATGCCCCTTTGAGCAAGGTTAGAGATACATATGTTTTAATTTTTCTTGCTGTATTATCACTTATCAGTCATCTGGTAAGATTTCTGGAAAAGAAAAAACTACAGTCGTTTGGCTGTTTAACAAACACTCTTGGTAATATAGCTATTCCAGTAGCGTTTATCAGTGATACAATCTTTTTAGTTGTCTGTCTTTATGTGAAGATTATGGGATGCAACATTTATGGCCTTTGTAGCTTTTGTTGAGTGCATATTGCCATTGGCTAGATTTCTCGAATTGCATTTGTCCTGAAGATGTTGTTTTAACCGATGTGAAAATTGCTTTAACTGTACATAATTACCATATGCCACTGCACTTGGGTGTACAATTTAAGTTTTATAGTTAGTTATATCAGTACATAATTACCATAGTTAAATTGGCATATTTTTTTTGCCTTTTAGAATCGCGCACAATTGCCATTGTTACTACATTTTTGTATCTGAATGTGGTAAAAACTGAGACCTTAAGCATAGAAAGGGTTTCCAAGTCGTACATATTGAAGTTCCATATTGTACAAGAGAAATTCAAGATAAACTTATCTGGAGTGGCAGATTTGTGTACCTATGTAATTTTTTTTTAATTGTCAGATTCTATTTAATAGCAATAGAAGTTTTTACTCTTAATTATTATCTCCATGTTGGACACCTTTACTATGGACATCTATTGTTTGCTTCTTTTGTTCTATTTGGAAATGACAGACTATCCAATATGAACTTTTCCACATTATTTGCTTATGAATTGAATAAATGACTTAAGAGAGCACATTGAACTATAACCGTTCTGGAATATGGATCTTAACGGCATTCCTTGCTTATGAACCTCTTCATCCTTCATCAATTTGTCATGGTATGTCAAATTTCATGAAAATTTCCTCGCGCTATATTTGGTGTTTTTCCCATGTGCCACAAGATTCATTCAGAATGTTAGCCAATAATTACAACATTAAAAAGTATAATACAAATGGATCTTACATTCAATGGCAGGAAGCAGTATGGGAGACTCATGAACAAAGAAACAATTACAATTACATAATACTTTTAACTTATGTATAAACACATCCGGAATGAGAGACTTGAACCCTACAACTCGTTCTGTTAATACCAATATCCAGATTAGGAATGTGAGCAATTTTATGCCAGTCTTCTCCTATTCCCTTCTCACACCGCTTTAACACTTCTGGACATTCAATAATTCTCAAACTTGAGATGCTGCAATCCCTCCGGTAAACATTTTAGCATCTTGCAGTACTGGAGAGGTAACTGTGTGAGTGAAGTTAAACCTTTCACCCCTTCCTCTGGGAGACTCTCTAGTGCATAACAATATTCAATTTTCAGACGCTTCAAAGCATTGAGACTAGCCAGGCTGGTAGGCAGCTTTTTGAGATTGTCAAGGATTTGAGATTTGCAAAGCTTTTGAACATCTCTTCTGGGAGTGAAGTAGCTTTGTTACGGCATAAGTTTCCAATTTCTTGACAGAAGAAAGGGTCAGAATAACAAACAGAGGGCAACAGTAAATTTCCATCTTCTCAAGCACATGGAATTGGTCTTCACCTTCCATTCTCTGCAATCCTTTCAGATTACAAAGACCACCTATTTGAAGTTTTCTCAGAGATGGAAACCTTATTCTTGTGGGGAATCCAGAATCAACATCAATATCCACTTCTTCAACATACTCCGCAGAGAATGAACATCAATATCCACTTCTTCAACATACTCTGCAGACTAACTCTAGACAAGGCAGCTCCCCAAAGAGTGGTAAGCATGAACAGTTTTCACAACCTCTAATTGTAATAGGGGCAACATTTCTCAAAACTGAGTGATTCATCGGAAACCTCTGATGCCAATGATTTCTAAGGATTGGGGTGTGGTTTGAGCACTTTAACTTCTTCTGATTCATATCTATGTGGTTGTCTTTCATCCCAACTCATACTTAAAGAATGCAGATTCCCTTTTGCAGATATATTGGTTTGTTTTGTGTCCTTATCATTCTTCACCCTCTCAAGTTGTATAATTGAAATTGAGCCATAGAGATTCAGGTTTCGTAGTTCATCAAGTTGACAACCTTTCTTCCTTCCCACAGCAAAGCAATCTAGAGTCTTAAGGCATGTCAAAGATCCTATCCTTGGTGGCATACAAGCCAATGGACAGCCATCAAGTAAAAGATTTCGGAGACTAACAAGTTTACTTGTTTGTTTTGGCAAACAACAAAGTGAATGGCAATATTAATTGTAGATCAAGAGTCTGCAGATTTTGAAGCTTGCATAACTGCTTTGGAAGACTACGAATTCTACTATTGCCAGAGAGGTCCAGGTATCTTAAATGTACTAGATCTCCAATGGAAGATGGTAACTGCTCAAGTTCTGTGTAACTTAGATTAAGCACTCTTAACGAGACAAACTTTCTCAAGAGTGAAGGAGAGTAAGAAGGCACCAATTCAGCGAAGCCAATGGACATTCTATGTGAGTAATCTCCTACATTTGTTTCGCGGATATTGCTGCTTGATGCGATTGCCGAAAACAGAGATGTAGCCAAATCATGGATGATGAAATAAGTTTTACCAGATTTAACTTCAGCCTCTTGGAAAAAAGACCTCAAGCATAATTCTTTCCATACTTCATTACCCACATCCTCTGGCTCTAATCTTCCTCTCAATAAAATTTCAGTTGATTTTTCTCTCTTCTTCAGTTAGCTTTCCCTCATAGAAACTTCTAGAATAACTCCAGTTATGGAGATTTAACAAAGTAGTTCGCCGATAACAGCAATTGTTAGGCTAGTGTTGGCAATTAATTAGTCTTTTGAGTTCTCTACAAATGCTTCGTTACTAAGAGCTTTGCGATCAGATAGATAAATAAATTATTTTTCAAATTTCAATATTCAAATCTATTACAAATGAACTCAAATTTGAAATATAAGTTTCATGTATTGATTTGTCAATAACAAATAAAACAAACTCATTTAACACCGTTTTAACTTTTTTTATGTATGTCTGCGAGTAGGACTGCAGGAAAAAGAAAACATAAATTAATTTTTTTTCTTTCCAAAGTGATAATCAACATCATGTTAGCCAACATTACATATCCAATAAAACAGTAGAGTGAATGGATTTTACATTTACAAAGCACATAATTCAAACAGATGGTCCATTTGCAGATTAGGAATGTGAGCAATTTTGTGCCAGTCTTCTCCTATTTCCTTCTCACACCGCTTTGCCAGTGTTGGACATCTCCTAACTTTTAAACTTGTGAGGGCTGTTAGGTGCTGTATAAATTTTAGCATCTCACAGTCATAAACAAATAACTCTGTGAGTGAAGTCAAACCTTTCATGCCTTCCTCTGGGAGATTCTCTAGTGCGCTACAGCTATGAATTTCCAGTCTTTTCAAAGCATTGAGACAAGCCAGGCTGCTAGGCAGCTCTTTGAGATTGTAAAAGAGAGATTTTAAAGTATTTGAGATTTTGCAAAGCTTTTGAAAATCTCTTTCGGGAGCGAAGTAGCTTCATTGTTATGGCTAATATGGAGGGAAGTAAGAGTCCTAAAATTATAAGAAGAAAGGATTGTAGAAACAAACATATGGCAATAAAAAATCGTCATCGGTTCAAGCACAGGGAATTGTTCTTTTTCAGCAATCCTTTCAGATTATCAAAGCCCCATATAACAAGTTTCCTCAAGGATGGAAACCTTAGGAATCCAGACTGAACATCAATATCCACTTCTTCAACATACTCTGCAGACTAACTCTAGACAAGGCAGCTCCCCAAAGAGTGGTAAGCATGAACAGTTTTCACAACCTCTAATTGTAATAGGGGCAACATTTCTCAAAACTGAGTGATTCATCGGAAACCTCTGATGCCAATGATTTCTAAGGATTGGGGTGTGGTTTGAGCACTTTAACTTCTTCTGATTCATATCTATGCGGTCCTTTCCAACTCCAATTCATGATTCCCCTTTGCAGATAAATTGGCTTCATTTGCATCCTTACCATTCTTCACTCTCTCAAGATGTGTGATAGAGATTTACGTCTCGTAGTTCACCAAGTTGACAACTTTTCTTCTGAATTCCTACCGCAAATCCACTTAGAGTCTTAAGTCATGTCAAAGATCCTTATCTTTGGTGGCATAGAATTCAGTTTATCGCAACCATGAAGTAAAAGATTTCGGAGACTACCAAGTTTACTTGTTTGTTTTGGCAAACAACAAAGTGAATCAAGAGTCTGCAGATTTTGAAGCTTGCATAACTGTTTTGGAAGACTACGAATGCTAGAATTGTCAGACAAGTCCAGGTATCTTAAATGTAATAGATCTCCAATGGAAGAGGGTAACTGCTCAAACTCTAAGTGACTTAGATTAAGCACCCTCAATGAGACAAACCTGGCGAAGATTGCCTTTATCAACCTCTTCTCATTAAAATCTTCTAGACAAGGAAGCTCACCAAAGGGTGGTAAGAAGGAGCAATTTTCGCAACCGTTAATTAGAATAGAGAAAATATAAGGGGTTGAAAGGGAATTCTAGTACGAAGTTAAAAGTTGAAAATTTCTCCACTGATGATTAAGTTTTCATACAAGTTCATGTAAGGGTCAAATTCATATAAGAATTCAATTATTCGAGCATGGGGCTTTTGTTTTGTTTTTCAATCCAATAACTAACTATTTGGTTTTGATTTCAAACATTCTTTTGGCGCTCAAGGGCATCTCTTTTATTGTGGGGTAATCTTTCAGCTCTGGCTACAAGATTTTTCATTAAAAAAAAAGGTATTTTTTTTAGGCATAATACATAAATATGTCCTTTAAACTTGGTCTCATTTTGTATTTATGTCTTTCAACTTTGAGTGTGTACAAGTAGACACTTAAATTTATATAAAGTAACAAATAAACACATGCGTCCTATGTGGCATCCTACATGAAAAATTTGCATCCTACATAGTGTCCTATATACATTATGTCACATAGGACTCATGTGTCTACTTGATCAACTTTATACAAGTTCAGTGACTATTTTTACATCTAAAATTGAAAGACATAAATATAAAATGAAGTCAAGTTAAACTACATATTTATATATTATGCCGCTTTTTTATCTTGTCAATCTCAAACTTTTATATATTGATTTGCGAAATTTACGGGGGCAATTGTTGTTCTCATCTCTCTTACTATATTTTTTTTTTTGCAATAATACTTGACTAAAGAGTCTCTTTTTATCCTA